TATATTGTTTATATATAAACATATATAAATATAATTTTGTACACTGCTTACTTTTGATTATTCTGTTTTATGACTTTGATTGTTTTCTAATACAAATGCTGGTGCAAACTCCATGGTGCATTCCCCTGAGTGTAGGATATCTGTGTTTATTCTGCAAGTGGACTAGTGCATCTTTTGTGTGTTATTTAAAAGGGAAAGTAAAATAATCTCCTCCCAAGTGGAGTTTCATTGCCAGTCCATTACTGGAGCTTTAGATTGCATTCAGACATCTACTAAAAAGAAATGTTTTATCAGTTTCACACTAATTTATGGTAGTTTTATATTAATAAAATCCTTTATGACATGCTGATATTGCTCATATTCACCTCTACCTCAGGTTTCAACTGATAGTAGTCAGAGAAGTAGCTGAAGGGTTATTCCCTGCTTAGTGACAGACCCCTTACAGCAAAAGTTGAGAACTCAGTATTTACCTAGGTATTTTGTTGGATATTGTTCAATAAACTAAATACTGGAACTGGGACCACTTTCTTTTTTTGTTTCACAGAATTGGGAGTATTTTTGATGATGGAAGAGGTTGAATGCTCTAAATACTTAGTAGTTTGATCTTGACATAATGATGGGTGAAATGAAAATATTGGGAATAGAATCATAGAATCGTAGAATGGTAAAGGTTGGAAGATCATAGGTTCCAATCTCCCAGCAATGAGCAGGGACACCTCACACTAGACCAGGCTGTATGAGGCCTCATCCAGCCTGGCCTTTAACACCTCCAGGTAGGGGGCTTCCACAACTTCCTTGGGAAACCTATTCCAGTGCCTTACTACCCTCATGGTGAAGAATTTCCTCCTAATATCTAACCTAAAGCTGCCCTTTTTCAGTTTAAAGCCATTACCCCTTGTTCTATCACTACCCTCTCTGGTGAAAAGCCCCTTCCCAGCTTTTCTGTAGGCCCTTCAGGTACTGAAAGGTGCTATAAGGTCTCCCTGGAGCCTCCTCTACTCCAGGCTGAACAGCCTCAACTCCCTCAGCCTGTCTTCATAGCAGAGGTGCTCCAGCCCCTTGATCGTCTTCATGGCCCTTGACTGGATCCTCTCCAACAGGTCTATGTCTTTCTTGTGCAGAGGGTTCCAGAGCTGTACACAGTACTCCAGGTGCTGCCTGACCAGACCAGTGCACAGGATAAGTTTTAATCTGTGCAAAAGATGTGATTTTATGTGACACCTCTGGTTTTATGGGTTAGAATCAGAAGCTGTAAAGGTAATGGTTTTCACTATCAATGTTATTTTATGAATATGAATGGACAAAAGATTGTCTTGCAAAGGATTTTGTCTTCTGAAGTATGGAAACAAATCTGGCTTCTTGCTGTTCTCTTAGTCTAAACTATTTGGATTGATTATACGTGTAGAATAGGAAATGTTTGTATCATGACTGTATGTGCACATAGCTGTTGGTTTGTTTACAAAGAAATCCTAAGTAACAAAACAAAAATAACACTATTAATATCCAGCACATGACAGCCCTGCCTGAGAATTTCTTCTTCTGCTCCGCTAGCTGAGGTGCTTGGTGCATCTCTTAAACTCAACAAAGCAGAAGAATTTTGGAGCTTATTATTGCTCCTGCTTACAACTAGCAGCTTATCTACCATGCATCAATTGTTTATTGGATGTATTTTATGTTTTTTATTGATAGTTCTTTCCTTCTGTTATTATAGAATTACAGAATCGTTAAGATTGGAAGGGATCTTAAAGATCATCTAGTTCCAACCCCCCTACCATAAGCAGGGAACCCTACCACTAGACCAGGTTGCACAAAACCAACCTGGCCTTAAAAACTCTAGGGATGGGACATCAGCATATTCACGCATGCAGATTTTCACATCTTGTTTTGGTGCTCGCTCCACCTTGTAACTATAGCAGGGATATCTTGCACTTGCACATATCTTGCATATCTTGCACAACAAACAACAGAAGAGCCACTACCACTGAAAAAAAAAACAAACCAAAAAACAAACAAACCTGAAGGCAGTAGAGAAAAGGGGAGAATGTTGAGAATAAAAGATAAAAGAATAAACATGTTTTCTGACAAATGGCTAAAGTTCACTTCTGCTAAAGCTTAGTACCAGTTGAAGTTTCTGTAACAGGTTGAAGTTGCACTTCATCAGCTAGGAGGGGAGAATGTGGATTTGATGGATTTTTGGTCTGTCATTGTGCATTTTGGCAAAGGTTTTGCTAGCATAGTGAAAGTCTCAGTAAAACTTAAGAATCATTTAAATGACTGTTGTTTGCATACATCTGTAGTTGAAAAGAAACTTCTGGAAATTATTATTAATGTCTTGCCAACTCTTGTTCTGTTTTTTCCTTTCTGAGACTATTATGGGAGGTCATTGTTCTGTCAACAGAATTACGTTACTACTCCAATCAGTATAAAGCCTTCCCTTCAAAACTTGCCAGGGTGTTCCCTGTATTGTGTATGTATTTTTGTTTTCGTTTATTTGTTAAGCAGTTACAGCTTAACTGAATTTATTCAGACACAGCTCTCCTGTAATCATTGCCAGCTCCAATTGTGCCTGGGGAGAGATCAAGGTGATCTGCAACTTGCTTATGTTGATGAGAGTCGTGGGTAACCTGCTATGGTGGATTTTGCTTCTGTCTGGCACCTCTGAACTGTTTCATTAGTAAGCTGGTCAGGAAATACTGTCACTGAATAGCCATTTTTGACAGCTTTTTGTGCTGTCTTTGAAGTTGGAGAAGTTATCAATAGGTTCAAAAGTGAACAGTTTTTCAGGAAAAAAGCAACCAGCCCCACCTTGGTCAATGTGTTCTTAAACTTGCAGATTTGGGAACAACAGTTTAGCATTAGTACTTACCATACTATCATGAAAGGGCTGTCAGGACTTCTATTATATACACAATTTTGTAAAAATAGTTTGGATTTCTTTGTAAATGCCTTTTGTGTATGACACTGAACTAGTGCAGCCTGAGTGAAGTATTTGCAGCTATCTAGCAAAAAATAATAGAACAGTAGCTGAGAATTTCTAACTGGCTGAATTTTAGTATATCTTATAGTGTGTTTTGCTCTTCTATACTACATGCTTTCTATTTTAATGCATTTTATAGATTGCTCCCAGTATATGATATTGAGCATAACCATTATTTTTGCTGCACTCCTTGAAGATGGGTTTGCTCCCATTTCTGATACATGCACATACCACAGGCTTATTCTGTGCACTGCCATGGATGCTGTATCATGTAACACACAGGTTTTGTAACCACCTTTATATTTGCAAGCAACATGTTAGATTAATTTATTTTCTGTACCAGTTATTTGGGTTTCAGAACATCTCCAGCTGTGAGCTTCCCTTCTGCCTCAGTAGAGACATAAAGAGCTGGGTATCTTCTGTGGTGGTGACCCTAGTTATAATCTGATTGTGGCTGGTGAATAATCCCAAGTGCTTGAAGCTTTCTTCATTACACAAACACATTAATAATATCCAGGAGCCCAACCTGGGTGAAACTTCATTGATAACTTGTGAGGGCCTGGGTAGGACGTCTTCCTGGCTCAAGGACTCATCCTTGACAAAGAGCATCCCACCAGTTTTTCAGATCTGGGTTGTGAAGGTGGGTGATTTCCTGTGTGCTGCCTCCTTCCTCTTCCTCTTTGGGTCTGAGCTTGTTCCTCTCCAAGCTGGACTTCTGGCTCAGTCTTCCAGAGCAAAAGTTTCTATAGTTCTTCCTAATCCCAGTGAGTCATGTTGACCTGTATTTCTAATGCATCATCTGCAAATATTTATGGACTATTCTGTTTTCCTCTCTGTCAGGACATAACAATGAGCACCCGCTACTGTCATGTTAGTGTTTGCGTAATGAATAAATTGTGCCTTTGTATGTAGTTTTTTAAGAAGATGTGTTTATGAATACCAAGAGTTCAGCTGTCTCTTTACAAGGAAGATGTGCCTTTGCATTGTGAGAGCAACTGAATCTTAGGCAAGCCAAAATTCAGTTGTCTGTGAGGAGTGTTCTCTGGGGGCATCCAGTGGCAGAGCTGTGCCGAGCTGAAATCCAGTAGTGTAGCTGGGAGGAACTGAGACTGATGCTATAGTTAATCAGGTATCAGGACTGTGGGTTTGGGAAAGCCCTTGATTTGCAAAAGGAAGAGAGTGTTTCCTTCAAACCTGAATCTGGTTTGGAGGCAAGGTAAGCATGAGGATGGCACCTATCAAAGACATAGAGTTTGGACTGTGAGGACAGTTTTGAGACTTAGCATGACTTGGTTCTTGCTGAACAAAAGGAAAACTTTGAATTCAAATAGTTTGTCCATAACTTTAGTGTGTTGTTATGATTTACTTCCCATATCTAGCTCTATGGTCTTAGATCAATGAGCAACTTTTAATACTAGTGTTGGAGTAAGCAAAGGAGAGAGAAGGAAAAAACCCATATGCACACACAACCCCCACACACCAAATCTCCGTCAAACAAATGTTGCAATTCCTTCATGCTAACCTGGAATCATAGCTGTTTACATTAGTTTCATAAAAACTGTTTCAAGTGCAGTTTTATAAAACAGCAGTGAGAAGTGTTTAAAGAAGTGTAGCTATTTCTTATACTTGTATTACATGCTTAGTCCTTCCCCTGCTCAGATGTTTGCTATTTTATGCTTTTGTACATGCTTTGTGTGAACTATTTTTAAAATGTAGCTATGTGCTGTATACTGATACACAGTGGTAAGCTTTGGATGCTCTTGAACAGCTGTGGAGACAAGAACTTTGTGTAGTTCTTCCCAGAATCACAGTCACAGAATATTAAGGGTTGTAAGGGTCCTCTGAAGATCATCTAGTCCAACCCCAAACAACCCAAATACAAGAACAAATAACTTTAAAGATACTTTAAATCTGAAATAATAACTTGAAGGCTACTCTGACTTGGTGTTGTATGAGATATGGTGTCATTTTTGTTATGCTCAGGTTTTTTGCATGGCATTGGATATTAGATTGAGCAAGTGGGATGACATATGAAATCTTGGTTTTGATAGATTTCCAGAAGAAACAGCCAGATGATGACTCTACTCCCAGCACAAGCAGCAGCCAGTCAGATTTGTTCTCTGGAGAAACGAACAGTGACAACAGCAATACCTCTCTAACCACGCAGGCCGCTAACTCCAACCAGCAGCTTTTGACAGAACTGAATGTAACTTCACCGAGCAAAGAGGAATGTAAGTGCACAAGTCCTAAGTGACAGCAAAGAAAGCATAAACATTTTGGGTTTTTCTCAGGCATGTATTTTACTGACTCCCCTTGAGAGTAAATGTCCTGTCATTTGGGGCAAAGGGAAAGGTTAAAAGTTATTCACAAAATAAGCACTGATGGCTTTAACAGAAGAAGAATTTAAAAGGGTTGCAGGAGCTTTTCAACTAGCTTTACAGCTCTTCAAACCACAATATACAATTTAATCACAGTTTTGAGGCACTCACATTTTAAAAAACTTTTTCTCATCTTGCTGGTAAATTAATACATATATTCTAAGGTAAACATCAATGTCTTGCAAATGTTTGCTTAAAAACCTTTTTTTTTTAATAAATGCTGTTGCACATAGCACTTTCAGTAATGCATGTTTGTCTAGACTGCTACTAGGTTACTTGCATAAAATTTAGGTTTCATTAGGTAATCCATCTCTTGTTTCATGACCTGTCTTTCTTCTTTATTGAACTCAGTAAGGCAAAAATTCTCCTTGAAGGTGAGATGTTGAAGATGTGAGAAAGTTATCTTGTAAGTTATCCTAAACCTCTCTATATGTCCTGTGTCTAATACATGGAGCTTTAACATCTACATTCTACAACATAAGATGAGCTATCTAATTTGCAGTTTCATTTTCCTCCAACTATAGCTTTATTTTGGAAGATGCTTTATGGAGACAATCCTTGAGAATACCTCAGCTTGTAAATAGGTGTATGTATCTCAAGAAAAACATGCTCATTTTTTAGTAGAGAATATGCTAGCGCTGCTCTGGTTCTTGAACTGTGGCAACTGCTGGAAGTAGCAATGCTGACAAAGCACTAGGACTAAAATAATCTTTGATACAATGCCCTTGTTTTCATATGTGTTAACTATTTGCATAAAATGGTTTTGCTGAGTTGCCAAAGTATTGATTCTGTTTACAGGTATGTAGACTTTGCATATATATTCTTCGTGCTTCTGCAAATTGGCGCTGGACAAAGTGCAAAGTGTTATTTTGGGGTTGTGGTAGTTTTAGACTAACTAAAGTAATTTATTTATTTTTTAAATTGGACTATTGTTTCCTCTCTGTATGTAATAATATTGTCAGAAATACAGCAAGGTTCAAATGTTAACTTTCTCATATGAGTTCTTGTAACACAAGTAAGCTTGCAATGTTAACTCTTGTCTCTCCTTCACATACACAGCTGCTGTTGACCACCCATCATCTCTTCCTTCTGTCCAGCGCTTCTTCAGGGGAAACCTGTAGTCTGCTGTAAAAACAAGGCCTTAGAACAACCTTCCTAGAGAATTCTGCAACACGTTATGCTTCAGCAATACATTTGGGCCTTAGGGCAGAGGGCTTCAGCACCTCTACTGGCTTACTAGCCAGGATCTACTGTTTGTTGTTACAGGGTGCTTCTCCAGTGCTTACTGGGTCACATTTTCTGAAAATATGTTCAGTTAGGAGTAAAATATGTTACAATAAAGTGTTTCTGCTGTGGCTGAGAAGGATTTGGGGGTCAGCAGGGAGTTAATTACAGGGATGTAGAAGGAGGGAAGGAAATTTAGTGTCCTTTATCCTGAATTGCTGTAAGCTTGTGAAGATACACGGAAGGTGATGGATATTAGGCAGCACAGCCTGAAGAGCATTTAAAAATATTACCTGTAAAAAGAAGTCTTCATGATTTTGTGAATACAGCAGTGAAATTTATTTACAGCTTGAGCTCTCTGTCTTTTCTCACATCCCCACTATCTCTTTAATGAAGCTTAATATAATTTATCAGAAGTAATTACACACAGATGGAGATTTTCTGATGGATAATGGCCCTAGCATAGAAGATTCTTTCCCAAAATTAATAATGCCCAAACTTTAAATGTATTTTTTATTTTGAGGGTGTCTCTTTCTGTGCAATATTCATTTATTTTTGCAGCAAGTTCTATAAAGTATGCACTGTTCTCATTACAGCTCTGTTCTTCAAAGATTGGTATTTTGCAGTGCTGTGTGATGAGGTACAACTATGTGCTGTTCTGAATGGAGTAGTGGTCGTTCACCAGCAATCAATATATGGGATCATTAAGGTAATCCCTATCAAAGAGTGGAAAGATTGGAGGACTGAGGAAGGATTCTCATGCTGCATTTCTCTCCCCTCTCTTCTCTTTCAAGCTTTTGAGAAGAGTCTCACATCAAGGCATTTGCCATAGTGCTTGAGTCCACAGGGTAAGCAGATGGCCCAGAATTACACCAAGTCATTTAGGCAATTAAGAAATTCCATTCACGTTACGACAGCTGAAAAGAACCATAGTAATCTCATGTGGTAAGATTCATATTTTGTGTTGGAGAAAGTGAGGGGGTTTTTTTGTACTTTTTTTATGTACACATTTCCTGTTTTAACACAGTGAATGATACAGGAGAAAAGTTCCTTGAACTGGATTCTGTAGGAATTAAATTTGTCAGTATGCAAGTAACTGCCTTTTTTTGTTTCTGTTTAGATTTTCTGTGGGAGTTGCATTTGCATTCCTGCAGGTCTTATATACACCAACAGATGCAGTGACTTTTTATCTCCTACCACCCTCAGTTCTGAACAATCACCTACCCCATTGCTGCTTTGCTGATTAATATCTCTTCCCCTAGTACACGAAAAAGAGTTCTCAGTCTTACAATTCCAGTCAACCGAAATACCTTAAAGATTTATGTCCAGCGACAGTGACGCAAACTTCAGGGTTTTTTTGTCCTCCTTCACATGAGTTTTGTTTTTATGAGGTATTACTTATCATGAATTTACAAAAAATGCTGTTGTAGCATAGGAGCAGGAGGGCAAATATTATTAAGAATGGTACCCTTCCTCTAACCCGTCACCCCCACACACACACCCTGCCCCACATGCTTCTTGAGTTGCCTTTTTCTGTCCAGACACTTCAAGTCTCATCAGTTGAAGTAAGATTTTTTTTTTAATAAACTTTCACAGGCAAGGAGCATATTGATATTGGTATAGCTTTACTAAGTCTAAATTGTATTGGATTTTAATAATCTGTTTCTTAACAGATAGTAAAATCAGTTTACCTTTTATTCTGCTGCTGCTTTATGTACAGATAAATTTTGCTGTTCAAGTTCTTACATAGTTTTCATCTCTTCTCATTTTTGTGTTCCACCTCCTCCCTTTGTTTAGGAGGTAGTTATGGTAGTTATTTCAGTGTCAGTCACCATATGAGTCAGTTGCTGTTATCAAAGATCTCCTTTTCTTATGGGGTAGCCAGGACTGTTTATTTTTAACAGACAGGAAAAACAGGATTTGACAATGACCCTTACTTCTCTCTCTCTCTCCAGCCACCAGCACTCTTAAAAAAAAAAACAACTTATTAAGGTTCTGTATGTTTTGATAAAGAAACAGTCACACTGCATGTGGAATAATTTTGCTTATTTTTTTAGGGGCTGTCATATTATTTTTCTGTCACTGTTTGAGCAGACATAAAGCTGATGCTGTGCAAGTTTAAGACTGTTGTTATGTAACAGGTGAAATGGCAATGTGAGCAACTCTGGCAGCTGGATCAGATTTTATAGTTCAGTAGTTCTTAGCTTTGCTTGATATTATTTTATTTTAATTATGTCCTTAACTCTTTCAGACCTCCTTGAATTTGTAAGAATCACAACTGAAAAAGGACAAAAGAAATATCCAATGTTTTTAGAACAGTTAGATGCTCTACATTTCTATATTGAAGACTTTGTAAGAAAATACACAAAGATCTGAGATACTGCTCTAAATGTCAAAAAATATATGGGGATTGCAGCCCAGAAAGGTGATAATCACTGACCACACCTTACGTCTGTGTGTGCTGAATTTTAGTTGCCTAAGTATGAATTTTAGGACTGAATGACTATAAATTTGGGGTACCCTCCAGAATTTGAACTGTTGATTTTCACAGAATCACACAATAACAGAATCACCAAGGTTGGAAAAGACCTTTAAGATCATCAAGTCCAGCCTATGATCTAACACCATTACATTGGTTAAACTACGTCAGTGAATGCCACATCCAGCCTTTCCTTGAACACATCCAGGGACGGTGCTCCACCACGTCCCTGGGCACTCCATTCCAGTATCTAATCACCCTCAGCATGAGGAAATGCTTCCTAATATCCAACCTAAACCTCCCCTCTGTTTAAAGCATCATAAGCTTGTCTCAAAAACTTATACTTGCAAGACAAGTTTCAATAATGCTTTAAAACATGGTTTATTTTGTTAAGCATTTGCATGTACTGCAAACACTGATAAACCCCCAAGTTTGAAGTTATTTTAGTGAATTTACTTTATGTAAATCTGAGACAAGAAATGCACTAAGCTTCTGCAAAAGATCTCTAGCAGAAAAATGAGAGATGGTTTTTTCTACTGCACTTACTGGATGTTTATACTTTTGAGTTTCATGGGTTCTTGAAGCATGACTATGTAAAAAGCCACATAGGCTATAGTACTAGAAAGGTTAAAAAAAAAAAAAAAAAGTACGTTTTTTCAACATAACCTTATAAAAAAGGGTTAAAAACATGCATCCTCTCCTTTTTTGTTGAATGGCTTTTTTTTTCACACTATGCAAAAGGTTTCTACTGCTTTATGATGACTTCACCATTTTTGTATTCTGGCTGGGATTGTCAGACATGACAGCTTTCCAATGTACACTCTGAAAACACTTCCTATTTTGAAGCCTGATTGTAATATTCTTAGTTGTGTTTTCTGCCTTTTAAGTAAGGACAGTGGTTTTCTTAAAATGACAATTTCTCTTGGGTGCTATCCATTATATACTTTTCTAAATGCTCTGGCTTTGAGAATTCAGTTGCTCATCACAGTAGAAGACAGCCGAGTGCTTCCTGACTGGTTTTTCTAATTCTGGCTGTGGGGAACTTTGTTTTCTGGCTCATCTCTGACTAAAAGTTACATGAATGCCCACTTCTGTAAAGTATTAAATGCATCAACAGACCAAACTAGCTGCCTGGTTTTGTCTTGCTTTT